TCTGTTCCAATAAAGGATTTTGATATGCAAAACAATTCTTACTGAAACATTTGTCTGTACTCTCTAAAATTTGACAGTGCCACTAGCCCAGTGGACTTCCTGTTCAACACGTTGTTGAATGTTCGTGTCACTGTACGGGGCTCATACCACTAATTGAATTTCCATAGACGACAATGTTAACATATGACGAGATTGCTATATGAAAATGACGAAGAAAGTTGAAAATATGGCTCAAAAATGGGAAATCAACATGCCAGTAATCAACCATATGAAAAAAACTAACATGTTGGCCAGCTCAAACTCTTGCAAATCTCAGGTAAACAAGACACACCTACTGTATTTGGATTGCACCAAGAGAAATCACTGGAAAAACACCAAGATTAGAACATCCATTAACACACAGAATAAACCCACATGTACACAGTCGCTAAGTAGTAAACAAAAGACCACATGTTGGTCTCACCTCTGACCCAGGTGATTACGCCCTCAAACAGGGAGCACCTGAGAAAAATAATATTTAAAAAATTTCATTGGTTCTTGCTGGGCATTTAAATTGATTTAAGTTAATTGGTGGCATGAGACCTACGTAAAAACACACTCTCGAACTTGACAATTTTAAAGTTCAGACTATTAAGCAAATAGATGGAAATACCAGTTGTATAAATCATGAAGAATGATGATTCAATTGCTGACCGGGATAGCTGCATTTAGTGTTCTTTTCTATGCAATATAAAATTGTATCGATGCTGTGGGCGGCGAAGGGTGACGATTGTTTTGGTCGACTTTGACGAGCGGAGCTTATCATATGGGTGATTGTCCGTCGTCCATGTCAATGTTTTACTTTTTCGACTTCTTCTTGAAAACTATAAGCCTGAATGCTTTGATACTTGGGTAGACCTCTTTTAGATTATGATGATATATTCAATTCTTAAATTTCGATGAATATTTTTGTCATTTTTGGTAAAAAGTGAGATTTTCGACTTCTTGTTAAAAACCGCGTGTCCAATTGCTTTGATATTACATATATGTGTACTACATGTGGATCTCTCTCAGATTTGTTCATTTTGTAATGATATCTTCAATTCTCTAATTTTGGTGAATATTTTTGTCATTTTTGGTAAAAAGTGATATTTTCGACTTGTTAAAAATCGCAAGTCTGATTGCTTTGATATTACATATATAGGTACTACATGTGGTCCTCTCTCAGATTTGTTTATTTTATGATGATATCTTCAATTCTCTAATTTTGATGAATATTTTTGTAATTTTTGGTAAAAAGTGATATTTTCGACTTCTTGTCGAAAACCGCCAGTCCAATTGCTTTGATATTACATATATAGGTACTACATGCGTTCCTCTTTTAGATGTGTTTATTTCGTGATGATATCTTCAATTCTCTAAATTTAGTGAATATTTTTGTTAAAAAGTGATATTTTCGACTTCTTGTTGAAAACTGCCAGTCCAATTGCTTTTATATTACATATATAGTAATACATGTGGATCTCTCTCAGATTTGTTCATTTTGTAATGATATCTTTAATTCTCTAATTTTGGTGAATATTTTTGTAATTTTTGGTAAAAAGTGATATTTTCGACTTCTTGTCGAAAACCGCCAGTCCAATTGCTTTGATATTACATATATAGGTACTACATGCGTTCCTCTTTTAGATGTGTTTATTTCGTGATGATATCTTCAATTCTCTAAATTTAGTGAATATTTTTGTTAAAAAGTGATATTTTCGACTTCTTGTTGAAAACTGCCAGTCCAATTGCTTTTATATTACATATATAGTAATACATGTGGATCTCTCTCAGATTTGTTCATTTTGTAATGATATCTTTAATTCTCTAATTTTGGTGAATATTTTTGTCATTTTTGGTAAAAAGTGATATTTTCGACTTCTTGTTAAAAACCACAAGTCCAATTGCTTTGATATTACATATATAGGTACTACATGTTGACCACTTTCAGATTTGTTAATTCCGTGGTGATTCTCTAATTTTGATGATTATTTTTGTCATTTTTGGTGAAAACAGCAAGTCCCATTGCTTTGAAACTATACATATTGTTCATTTTCTAATGATATCTTCTGTTCTTTAATTGAAATGTGCATTGCTAACAGCAGAGCTATCTCAGCCGACTGGCTGCTTGTTTTGAATTCTTGTTAAAAACAGCAAGTCTACATATTGTTCATTTTCTAATGATATCTTCAGTTCTTTAATTGAAATGTGCATTGGTAACAGCGGAGCTATCTCAACCAACCCGCTGCTTGTTTTACTATTCTGATGTGTTCTGGGCTGTATATACCAGTCAGACACTCACAAGTAAGTAAGTACTAGTAAACAGTCTGGGATATAGTCAATACAAGCTGGTAAGCTGGTTGGCGATCCGCTCCGCTCAAAAAGCAAGCAACATGTTTTTAGCTGTTTCCATGATAGGACATGAACGTGAAGCCAATGTCAGTTTATAACTAAATGGTTATATAATTTTGATGATTATTTTTGTCATTTTTGGTGAAAACAGCAAGTCCCATTGCTTTGATACTATACATATATACGAAGTTCACAAAAACCATTCAGTCTTTAGAAGTCACTTAGTTTATTATTAAGACATATTCTGCTGTTACATTTATTATTTCCAATCGTTTTGCAATAGTATTTTCTAGAATGAAAATTTACAGTTCATTCAAAGTTGCATTGGGATTACGTTGATACAGTGTAACAATGTCGGCGCCAGTGATATCTTACCAGTGCGCAAAGTAGCCATTCCTGGTGAACAGTTATCCCAACTTTGGGGTCAAATTTCTCGGTAATGAAAAAAGATATCAAAAATTGAAATAGCAACTTTGTGCCCACACTCAAGCTGAGTAGAAAGATTTACTTCATTTAGTATTTCGAACTTTCCAGATTGCGTAAAAACAGAGAATTTCCCAAATTGGCTGCTCCAATACTTCTGAGATTTGCTGTAAGGCCAAAAAAAAAAAAAACTTGTGTTGTCCTCAAGTTGGTAAATAAATACAATCTATGTGAAGTATTTTACGGTATATGCTATAAGCCTGTGCATGGCTGAAATCTCCACCTTCTGCACAAAGACTGCTACATGTATATTCATTGCATATGTGTGTATGATTTACATGCATGTTATGTACATTAATTGTTTGTTTGTTTACACATGTGTGTACACCACCCTTTAAAATTGTTTTATTCTTCTTTTTTAGGCAACTCATAGAAGGCACAGATTTGTTGAAGAAACTTGAAGACCAGATCACATACAATGAAAGACCGAAGAAGGAATGTCGAGTTGCTGAGTGTGATGTTTTTACTCCTTAATGAACAACATGTCCAATACAAAAAAAGATAAAACTTGCAGCTAAGCATTTGAACTCTGTTAATTTATGTAAATATCAATAACATGGCTTTCTTTTTAAAAAATTTAAAGTTGTACTTTCCCTATAATATTTTTATATATTATGCTATGATTTTTTATTCTTGTTAATTTTCGAGTGATTCCATATATCGGTATACTATAAGAATACATGTACAGAGTATTTGACTTAAAAACATATTATTGACTTATATAACAGTCAGATTTTTATCATTAATTCATTGGCTTATAATCTCTACAGATGTACTATTTTATAATCACCCTTTCTCTAGCTATTATAACAAAATGCTTTGATGTTCTTTAATTCATGTTATAGTTTGAGTTGTGATATTAAAGAGATGAATACATGGAATGTGTGCTTGTGTTCATTAATGTTCTTGACTAATTGTAGGAATATAGAATAATTAAGTTCCTTAAAGTTGCATTCCCAATTTAACAGCTCCTTACCCATAACTACATCATCAAATATTGAAAGTGTGTATGGGTCATTACAAATTATCTGCGGAATATGAATTAGGTAGTAGATTTGTAGACACAGGGTTTTTTCTCTAAGATCAGTTACATTGTAGAAACATATGTTGGTCTAAGGGATAAGTCCCTACAGTCATCTAACAATGAAATGAGTGGAAAAGTGAGAACAGAATATTTACTTATAATATGTTTTTTTGCTAAAACCATTTAACCCACTTATAAATATACCTTGTTCTCGGAGAATGCAAACTAAATAAGACATTGATAATGGTACCTCCCATAAACCTGAATTTGCAGGGACATCATATATGTCGTGCATCTTTATACAGAATGTACTGTGATGGTGGGAACTCCACATTCAACAATGTTTGATAGAAAGCTGCCTAAGAAGTAGTGAAAGTTGGGTGGAAATTTAAAGCAAATAGCAAGTACATGTAGTAAAAGGTGAAAAGTCTCAATTTGTCTAGGTGGATAATTGCATGAAAATTAATGGTAGATGGCTGGGGAAGTTGTAAGGCAACTGACTATATCATAAATTCTATATATATTTTTGTGATTTTCAGTAAAAAAATAATTTTTGATAAACAATTAAATATTTTTGATGAAACCAAGCCTAATACTTAAAGGTTAGCACATGTCCATTTTATCTTGGTACTGGAAACTCTGCTTATCAGTATACAGGGTAACAGAAATATAGCTGGCATCACTATAGCAGGAAAGGAGGTCAAGGAATTCGCGAATGATATGACATGTTTTTTATCCAATAACAAATCAGTTGACAATTTAATGCAGGTGTTGAAAAAGTTCCATGACAGTAGTGGGTTAAAAATTAACAGGGATAAAACTGAGGCAGTCTGGTTGGGAAAATGGAAAAACAAAAAGGAAGAAAAGTTTTGGGTCAAATGGCCCACCTCGCCTGTCAAAATTGTGGGAGTACATTTTTCGTAGGACAGAAAAGAAATGCAAAGGATAAACATTGAAAAAGTATTCAATAATTTGAGGAAAGTTTTAAATCGGTGGAAAAGAAGAAAACTGTCAATACTTGGAAAAAATTATCAACACGTTTGAATTATCCCAGTTTACTTATATACTGGCAAATACGTATGTTAAAAATAGTGTTTAAAAGAGGTCCACAAAATAGTATATAATTTAATATGGGAAGAAGTTGATCGTATTGCAAGGTGATAGGCCCCATGATAGGTGGGGTGGGCAAATAGGGATATACGAATGGTAGTTTTGTGAAAGAAAAATTAAACAAACTAGGGGGAGATATAGCTATTAAAATGTAACTATTCCACAAGACTGCTTCCAGTGAAATTTTCGGCATTCATGACAGATTGTTTAAATACATGAGCAGAAAACAAAAGTAGCAAGATGGATCAGATTCCCTGGAACAACAAATCAATTTTGATAGGGGGAAAATAAATATTTTACCAAAACATGGATTAATCATGAATTAGATTTATCTTGGATTTGTATATTGATGGTATACTGAAACAGTGGAATGAATACAAAGAGAAGGGCCTATCACTTATTGATAAACTGAAACATTGTCAAGTACTAAAAAATAGGGAAACAACTAACAATATAAAAAACTAGCAAATTTTGTTAGAAGACTTGACCAAAAATATGCTTAAAACAGAACTCATCTACAAAATGCTCTTTGGAGATAAAATTTAATCTGGAAATTGAATGGAAGAAAATGTATAAAATGATTATAAGGTTATCAATTGATACAGAACGCTTCCCTGAATACCAATGTACTTTCTGTAATGAATATAGTGAAACATATGAACACTTTTTTATGACATGTAAATTCCTCTGGCATGATGTTATCAAGGAACTGGGAAGACCACTGAAAATCATAGAGGTATCTGGTAAACTTTGTGTGATACAAAGGGACCTGGAGTACGATTGGCC